GAGAGAGAGAGTGAGAGAGAGCGCCATCATTTCTTTTTCCATCACACGCTGACAAAAGATGATGATACAAATTGATACTATTGTTTAAATAAGTGTAACAGAATTATCAGTGTAAATATTTGTCGAAATGCGCGAGCGTTGATGTGATTTTGTGTGCAGTGTGTTCAACAATACAATGTGCGCGCGAGAGAATCATCAAGCTTGTATATCAATTTGGATTTATGTTCCTTCACTTTGTGCGTTGCAAGAAGCGTAAACAAGTTTCAAATGTGATATGAAATGAAAACAGCAGAAAAAATATAGCGCAAAACATCGAAAGCGATTGCAATCAAATACACAGAGACAGAGAGAGAATGAAAGAAAAAAATTATAAAATACAATTAAATCTCAATTAAATTGGATGCAATAAAAAAAATGTGTACATTGCAAACAACAGGCAACAACAACAACAACAACAGCACAGTGCGAATCGAGTTAACGATAGAGATATAAAAATAATAATAACGATTTAATGCTTTCGCTTTCGATTTCGATTGAGTTGGAATTGGAAAAGTGCGACGTGTTGCAGCGCGCAATGCATCGCTCGCGTCTCGGTATTATGTCAGTGAAGCCGATATTGCATTCATTCGATCGCTCACTCGCTTGCATTCATTTTACTCGTCTGAATGTGAAATGTGTGGCACTGAGCGCGGCCGACTGAGCGCGGCCAAATTCGTATCGGAAACTTGATCAAAGCGAATGACTAATAAGTGAAGAGAGACGCCCGACACCAAAACATACTGACAATAACTTTCACGATCAACAATACACAATCTAATTACAAACTAATCGCATGTGGCGTTTTCGCTTAGCAGAAAATAAAAATTAAACCTGGCATTGGTAATGAATACATAACAGCATTGCTGCTTCATTTTCTCTCACTCGCTCGCTTGCTCGGCGCCACAATCGGGCGGTTTGCGCCTGTGAAAGAAAGCTGCCAGATGAAAGTTTTCGATATTGTTCGTGCTCACATTTCCATCAACAGATGCATACACCGACAGCGAACGCTTGCTACGCTTTTGACTCATGTGCTTTCATTTGTGATTCACATACAGAGCGAAAGAAAAAATAAATTTGAGCGAAAAATAGCAATGCTGTTGAGTGACTTTCGATTTCATTAGATTTACAGCTGTATTGCGAAAATGAATAGATTCGCTTTTAATTGGGTCAAATGTTCTTCCTTCAATTTATCACAATGAAATTATCTCTCACACTCTTCGATCGCTGTTGTTTATCGGACATCTTTGATTTTGATTTGATGTTCCAATTTCCTCGATTGCAAAATGTGTTTACTAAATCTATATAGCGATCTAGTACCATTCCAATCAATTTAAACAATTCACGGGAAATTATGTGTGAAAAAACAATTATTATCGATACAAGACAATTAATTCGAACTTATCACTGTGTGTATTGTTGTTTTTGCTGCATTCACAAAACACTTGAGCATTTTTGAGTGCCTGCCACGCCACTCTCGCTCATTTTTCCACTTTATCTTGCTCCCTCGACAAACTGCATCATTCAAACAACACTCGAGTGGCTAAATGCTACGCACATTTTTTCTTTTAGCTGTAAACACTCGAGCATTTCAGCTTTTTTTACTGCCTTGAAAATGGTAGATTCGAAATTTTGTTTCTCATTTTTTCAAGTTTTTTTTTAATCCATACCATTTTTTCTACTTTCGTCTCTGTCTTCTTCAATTTATTCGTGAATTTTTTTACTGTTTTCCATTTTTTGCCATTTTGCGATTTTTTTTTCCAACGAATTTTCTTCATAAAATTCTGTTTGAAGAAGAAAAAAAATGCTTGTAACTATGCTGAGCTGATTCAGCACGAAAAGATAGAGAACCAAAAACAATTGCGTACATGAAACTTCTTGATCAACAGATGTTCAGCAGAACATTTTATTCAATCGAATCGAATTGAATCACCTGTAAATTTTTGAAACAGATCCATGAACACAAATGGAAAATGATTGAAATAATTGATAATTTCCATTGAGCTCACCATTTCTGGTGAATATGGGTACATAAATATTTCATCATTCTAGTCACTAGTGGCTTCATTGACCACAAGTTTGCTTACTTTTTGCAAATTCACTTTGAAATTGGTTCGCATACCCACTGCTGCGTCGAGCTGATGGCAATTTCAAAAAGAGTTTGAAAAAATGTACATATTTTCTAAATCGCCTGTAAAGAATGGCGATTCACGATGAAACATATGTGAAGCTGAAGAATTTCAGAAGTAGCGAGCGCTGTGTTTTCCCATTGTGACATTGGCATGTGGAGATTAAACAGCGTTTAAGATTAATAAAAGTGCCACAGTAATGTGTAATTTAAGTTGCAACTGATACATATGTATTCCGTGTGCGTGCATTATTATTATCCAGTATTAGTGGAATTCGTTGTTGAGCAGAGAAGTTTGTTTATCATTTTACACTTTATTTTGAAGACGAGGAAAGTATTGGTTCCATGAACATCTTTTCCATATGCCATCTTATTGAGACAGTCTGTAAAATATCATTATCCAATGGTATACGAGTTTCCCACTCGCAAAAGTACGTTTTATGAAGAGAACCACTTGTTCCGTCTTCGGATTAAGCCAATATTCTGGTGTTGCCATTTTCATAAGAATGTCTCGCTGCATTTATGTGTGAAACGTTGACGGCAATGAAATGCACAATTAAAACTCCGCTACATATCCATATTTGATGCGAGAATGAGCTCTTGCGTGCGCACTCACTAACTTGCGCTCAAGTGGAATGGCGAAAAGCCAACAACGACAAAGTTGAATGGCAGGTAATTTCATTTAATAGTTACTTATTATGCGCTCGACAAAGTGGCTTTAGCATAGTTTTCTCTTATCGTTTGCACATTAAAGTGCATAAAATCCGTCCACCACTGCCATCGATCCAATGCGAAGTTGCACAATAATTTATCAAGTCAAAGTTGTTCAAAAATGGAAAAGTTTGTTGCAACTGATAAAAGATTCACCAAATGTGATAGCACATCATGTCGCATTTTACAGCTCAAACTTTTGCAACTCGTGAGCAATATTTCATAGTGATATTTTCCTGAAGTATGGGGCAACAAAATACTAATTCTGATCTTAAGTGATCCTATTTGGTTTCATTCTAATGTTTATTCAATTTATGCGAATGGGATTGATTACAATTTGTTTATGATAATTGCTAGGTTGCTTCATCGACAACCAATTACGTGCACTTTTTACCGTTTCTCTCTCTCTCTCTCTCTCTCTCTCCTCTTTCCCTTGGCACCATCGCTCAATCTCGGGATGCCGAGATGCATTCTAAATTGCCATCGACGTAATTAAACGTTGGGTGGGTTAAATTGTTCGTCATCGCTATTCGAATGTGTCAAGCAGCAAATTTTATGGCTGAACGAATGAGAGATGCGTTGAGCTATGAAATGAAAGGAGCACTTGATTTATCTTTGTCACTTTTCAATCAGTCATTTGATTTGATTGGTCTGTTGCATTGATTACTCGAACGTGATGATTTTTATCAATATCATCGAGTTGCTGCTGCTGCTGCTGCTGCTGCTGCTGCTGTTGCGTATTTTTCGTGCTTCATTTGATGCACACTCGAAGTGCTCCAGCTTTTGGCTTCGTTGCATCTTGTACGGGACGTGGGGAACTAATTGAAATTCCCCGCACCGGATACGCAATTAGCATGGTCGACGCATCGATTCACTTGGAATTAATTTCAATATTTACTTTTAATTACTGCTGCGAGAGGAAAAAACCAAAACGGTTCGCAATCACGTCTCTCAGAATGTGACGGCATGGCGGCGCTGCTCTCATTTTCCAATGTCAAACGTATGCTGGTAGACCAAGTGACAAGTGGAAAAAAAAAGTCTCACTAGCTGGAAAAATGAACTCGGTTCGTTCGTTCGTTGCCAACCATTTTTAACAATGACATTGAGAAAAATTCCCTCGAAATTGTTCCACACACACACACACACACACCGAAAAACCAAAAATCACTTTCAATTGAACGCCGTGTTTTTTGTGAGCGATGTCTTTGCCAATTTCACTTGAGTGCTTGTTACTCTAATAGACGCCATTTATATCAATGAGTAATGTACAATGCTCTCCCTCACTCCGTGTGCGACAGAGACATTGAGCAGGAGACAACTGTACATGTGAGCTCTTGAAAATCTCGATTGCATGTGATTCGATTTGATGCGTCTGCAGGACAGGATTCAGATGCGTGGCCTTTTCTATTATTGTTTTAACTAATGTCAAATAGCCTAAGGTCATTTTAATCAAAGCGAATATGCTGCTTTGGCCGAGAAAGAGATTGAATTATGGAAATTAAGCTTTGGTGTGCATTCATTTGGTGAGATAAATGAGTGCAAAATATCTAAACAACTAATCATGCAGTGAAATAAATTAGAAAATAAATCAAACGCTGATTCATTTGACAATGGGCGAATAGCTTCAATGCGTTTTGTTGCTTCTAAATCAAGTGATCAACTTTTTTTTGACAGCCATAATTCCCGTTTCGTGGTTCCGTTCACTTTCTTCTCATTGTGTTTGGCTTCATATTTCAAATATGCATTAATCTGTTTGCCGGTCGGCGTTCTTTGTTTGCTCCGCGTACAATTACTCGATTTGTCTGACGCCGATGCTTTTTCGGTTCTATCAAAAGGAAGAAAAAAAAAGACTATCTGGTTGTGTGGTCATCAACACAAGAGAAACTCAAGACAATGACGCCTAAGTGTTGACACATTTTTATATGAAAATTTATTCACCCGCACGGTATCATGACCATATCAGCTATTATCTAATCAAATCTATACTTTTTGTGTTCAAGTGGCACACACACACATACACATCCACACCGAAAATATGTACATAAAATAAGATGTCAATTTCATCATCATAAAAAAGACGAACACCTAATTAATTGATATATCCTTTGTTTTATCTCTTTTGCAGGCTTGGGCCTTGTGAACTTCCACTTCCCGATCAGTGGCTATCGCATACATCAGCATCACATCTATCGCAACAGTCCATAAATCCGTTGTTGCTATCGCCACGTGCTGCTAATAACAATAATAATATCAACACAAACAACAACAATATAACGAATAACAACAATTTCAGCATACCGCAACAACAGGTATGTAAAATATATATAAGCAGTTAGAATCAATAAGTTGATTATAATTTATCATGTTATTTTAATGGGTAATTGAACTGAAAAAAAAAAAAACCAAATTTGCAGACACAAGTGCAACAACAATCACCGAATAATCAACAAATTAATCAGAATTCTTCGAATCAGACGAAAATAATGAACGCGGTCGCATCGGCAGTGGCATGTCCACCAGCTGCATCGAAAAAAATTCGAAGACGCCCAGAAAATAAGGTACGTCAAAATGCACATCCATCGTGTAATGCGAATACGAATTAATTTCGATTGCATTTTCTTCAATCCGCAGCCACAATCACAAATCAATAAGTGTAATAATGAAAAACGTCGACGCGAGCAAGAAAATGAATACATCGAACAATTGGGCGAATTTATTCACATTAATAAACGGGACATGAATGCTCCCAAACCCGACAAAGCAGCTATTTTAAATGAAGTTGTAAAACACGTAAGTACACGTCTTTTTTTTTCTGTTTTCAATTCGTTTTCGTGGATTCGGTGCAATTTTATGCACTGAAAATTCCATAAGCGTAAATCAAGCAAACATTTTCCCCGTTTTAACGCTGTCGTTGACGATGGCAGTTGAATCGATATGCGTGTGCTTCGAGGCTCACAAAGTAGTACATCGAAATCCAATTAATTAACTCAAACAATTTGGTACTGATGAAGTTTGCCGAATGGAAAAATTCGGTTTAATTTACTTCATTATGTGCGAGTGTTTATTATATTTTTCTCTTCGTTTTCATAAATATAATCCTTTTGGTAGCATACGCATTTCTCTGCCATAGGCTGGCGCCACTTTGATGGTGTGTTATTAAATACACGCATATTAAATTATATCTGGCTATTACGAGAAAAGACAATTGAATTTTTGTTCGAAACGGACCGGCTGCATGCACACAAAAATTGCCATTTCGACGGAAAATGAAATTGATAGCGTACAACTATTCGCTTTTACAGTCTGCCTGTCGTTTGCTATCACATTAATACGATCTTAATGAACATAATACGATTTTATACACATTTTTCGACTGTTTCGCAAGCAAGTCCGCTTCACAAAGGACATCTAAAAAACCATTTACAAAAGAAGCTTTCACTGAATACGCTCGGATATATTATGGTCGCTTTTCAAGGGAAAAGAAAGAGCGAAAAAGAGAGACGAAGAAGAGAAGCAAACGTGGCCCAACGAAAATTCCATTGATTATCATGATCCAAACTACAAACAAAGTTTCGGTGCAAAGTAATAGCTTTAAAGCCACATAACAGTATCATAACGAATGAGAGAAGGGTTCGCCAGCCATTTTTAGATTTTTCGACGAAGTACAAAAATGATATATGTGTCGAAATGACATTAAATATACATGGGAAGTTCTATTCTCTGTTTGCGGGTAATAATTCGATTGAAAGAAAATCCAATTATTCGGTTGCTTCTATTCGATTTGAGTGACGTGTTCGGGGTGAAAATATGGTATCGAAAGAAAGTGGAGAGAGCAATGGCGGCGGCGTGTGCTTCACTACATGCTTCTGCTATCACAATCAATAATAATTGATGTTGTCCGAAAAAGTAATAAGTAGTATATGCTTTTTTCGGTACTTCATTCCTCAAAATGAAAACGGAGAACGTTCCATGACACACAAAGAAAAAGAGTGAGGAGAAAAACGCACACACTTACAATTTAATGCCAACACTGTTGGCAATTCATTATTTACAAGTGCAATGAACGAATCTATTTACTTTTTGTAATCGATTCTTTTGTCCACCGTTCATGGTATCCCTTGCCAACAACACCGCCATCGAATGGTAAAAATTTAAATTGAAAAACGGATTTCGACTGATTTAATTCGAAATTTGTTAAGCAAATATAGTCACACGGAACAATCATTTCAAAAATACACACTTTATTCTAACGAAATTGGACGTGTGTGTTTTTTTTAGGTTTCTGCAAATATTTTTTCTCACAATTTTCATAAACTGAACGAATTAATTGAATGACGTGGTGACAGGCAATGTCGTTATATTTTCATATTTCAAATTTTGTGCGAAATTCCACGAATGCTCACATTCTTCGACGACGGAAAAGAATTAATTTTTCACTTTTCAAATGTTGTTTTTCTTTTTTTTTTTGCTTTCTCTTCTTTTTTAATTTTCGTAAATTTTCCTTCGATTTTTCTTTTTACATTTTCGCATTTGACATTTTTTGCTTTCAAATATTTAATTCATTTCTTCCTTTCAATTGCCAACATCCGTTTGAAATTGCTGTCGTTCACGCAGGCAGCAAAATCGTGTTTTGGGCATTTTTTGGTCGGTCATTCGTTCGTTCGTTGAAAATAACGTCAACGAATTGTTGCTTTGATAAAATTTATTTTGTGTGTGATCTCTGTCATTAAAAAGCATTTATTTCCTTTGATCGTGTGTTGTCGAAAAGGAAAGCCTGTCATGTTTGTGTTTTTTTTTCTTCTTCTTTGTGTATGTCAATTTTTCATTTAGATTTACCGCCCCTCCGGTGGATGTCCGAAAATTTAATGAATTATTGCGAGACCGTTTTGTGAATGCGAAACAAAAGAACGCACACAAAATGAACGGTGAATTTGTTTTGTTGTTTGTCATATATTGAATGGTCAATTTGAAGCGGTAAATTGGTGTATTCTGGCGAAAAACAATCGTACAAAAAACGTTTTGTGAACAAAGAAGAGAAGAAAACAAAAGCACACGGTTTGAGCATATGAAATAGGGATTTCGTGAGGCCTACGGTTTTTTTCTTTATCATATCACTCGGCCCAGAAGCAAACGATGTGAAGCTTGTGTAAGATGTATCTTGTAGCCGGTGCCAACAGCAAATGGGCGAAAGGAAAAAAACAGAACTATAATGACGTAGATTAAGTTGTCATCCTGCCAAAATATGTCATAATAAAATGTGAAACAATTCATTTCAAGTGATTGAACCGGATAAACGACACACGAAACAAAACGGTTGAAAATTTATAGAAAAAAAGAACGAAGAGAAGAAAGAAAAAGCCACTCGATTATTCCGCTTATTCGAAATTGAAACAACTGTTTACCCTCAAGCAGGCAAAATCAATGTACGCACAATTCTGTTTTTGTATTATTTCTTTTCTCTCTCTCTTGCTGTGCAAAACGAGCGACAACATCAAGAGCTTGTTATAAATGTTGAGCGTACCGTAAAAATATTGTCCGTGTTATGTAAGTGAAGTATAAGGTTTTTGTGGTCAATGCTGACATTTATGAGGAATTATTATTTCAGCTCTTTCTCTCATTTTACACGCATTTTGTTCGCCGAACACATCCACTTTATCGCGCGCGCGTTGTTGTCTTTTCCCTTAATTAAATGTCCAACTTCGTGATATTAATTACGGCCGAGCACAAATGATATAATACGTGTTTTCAAAGTGAAACACTCTAGAATGAACAAGAACAGAAGAGAGAAAACAACAACAACAACTTGATTACAACTCTATGTAATTGCTTGAGCGAGTGAAAGAAGTAAAAAGAAAAAAAAAGAACGTGACATTAATCCTATGTGTCGATTCAACGCTGAAAAAAGTATAGCGACGATTTTGCGTGGCCACTAGTGTTAGCACACCAAAGTCGACTTCTTGTTCTAGCTCACTCTCTCTCTCTCTCCCTTGCTGAACATTGGCCGTATCTCGCGCAAAACACCCATTCGAATGTCGCGCCGTGTACACTGCAAAATTTTATTAATTGCACAGTTTATAAGATGTGAGCCGCTTTTTTCTCTTGCTCTCTTCTCTTCGGTGCTGCCAAACACTTGAATGTAATCACATGTTTAAGTCTTTACTTTGCATTTGTATGGAACAAAACCTGGCCTTTTATTACACTTCTAGAAGTCATTTTTCTCTCTTTATTTTGTGGCCATTTGTACGGATTCTTTTGATGCTTTAGAAAACTAGTCAGTGTAAAGTTGTAGAAACTAAATCATTAATTAACATTAAAGAGAAAAAAAACACGCGTTTCTAAAACGACAAAACTATTCTCTTTGTCTCCTTCTCGCTCGATCTCTCGATTTCGTTTTGTTTTTCCATCTCTGTCGCTTTGCTTGCGTAGTTCAACCGCGCAAACACAAAGTCGCACCGTCTCGAAACGCACCCAGCAAACAAAGTGCGTAGTTTATTCCGTTGGATACAGAAAATTGCAAGCGTTATTTAATTTAATTGTGTGCGTATGCCTAATTTGAAGCGGAGCGAACAACAATTACAGCACAGAAACGGAATTGTCAATTTAAATCTCAAACGAACGAAACACCTGTCGAATAAAAAATGAACAGCAACAATGATGAGAAGCAAAATAATGTAACGAGACAGTCACATGCGAGTAAATGCATTCCGTTTTTTATTCTCTCTTCATTTAAATGTTCATTACTCGAAATTTTTTTCTTTCAATTGAACTGAATTCTTGGGCTTGTTGACGAATTATTCACTAGATTATTCATTTCGCACGAAATTCGTTCAGTTTTCTGCACTCAAACATACATACTCGACACGTGCTCACAATAGCCTCCTGAATTATGGGCAAAAAGGAGACATTCGAAAATTGGTGACGGATTTATAACCTGACCGTTCGTTGTTTTGTATCTTTGTCTTTTGTTGCATATTTTTTTTTTTATATTTTACGACACTGCCTGCCGCGCTTGACTTCAAGTTGATTTATGTGGACAGTTTCTAGAAATGTTTTCACTTAAATAACTGCAGTCGCTTGCAGAACACATAAATCATTTGCGTGTATGTGTTTTGTTGCTGTTTGGTTGCGCTGCTTTCTTCGGTTTTGCGCGCATTTGTCATTCGGTTAATGGATTTTATATTGGACACGCGTGCATATGGAAATTGACTCATCGAAATTTTTCTAGTCAGCTAGTTGTAATGTGGAAATTTGCGAGAAAATACGAAATATTCGCAATTGTAATGGGAAAATGTTTGCGTTAATTTCATATTGAAATGTGTGTCTTTTTCTATCAATTCTCTAACCGTATGATTTTTTTTCTCTCCTTCGTCTAGTATAATAAACTCTGTGAAAAGAACAATCGCAAGTGCTCACCAACTTGTTCCGATTCATGCACAATCCATCCGGTGCAACAAGGGGACGTCTCATCAACAGAATCACATTTACCCGAATCGTCATTGAACGGTTCGCCAAATCCAGATATTTTAGCTCAATTCAGAGCACTTGAACACTATATATCGACATTCGGTTGGGCATTGATCCAAATCAATTCGGACGGTATCATTGAAACGGTTACGGAAAATATCAAAGAACTGATCAATTTCACATCGACCGATTTGCTAAAGCAACCAATCTATTCGTACCTGCATCCCGGCGACCATGCCAAATTGAGTCCATTGCTGAATAATATGTCATTTCAATTGAACAGCTGGGAACGACAAGATGATGGTCAGTCGGCACAAAGTAAACGCAACATACAGAAACGTATTCGTATGTTGGTAAAGCATCAAGAAAGTGGCACTGAAACAATGGAACAGAAGCAACAACGTCAAGATAAATATGAAGAAGTTGTTATGTATGCAGCAGCACCATTTAACAAAGGTAAACACAAACACACACACACATCATTCAGTAATAGAAAGCACGAAATTCAATTTTTCCACCTTCTAATCATTTGTTTCCATTGTTTCTACACGCACAGAAAACGGCGATGATAGTTCACCAGTTTTGTGTTTGATCGCACGACCCGAGGACGAACCATCGATTGAATCAACGATGCAACAGCAGCAACAGCAACAACAGCAAATACAAACAAACCAATTAGAACAATTAACATTTCGTCTAGACACATCGGGCAGTATATTGAAAGTGAATCACGAAAAATTGCGAAAATCATATGCGCAATCACTAACCAAAGAAAATTGCCGAACCATTCAAGATATCACACATATTCAGGATTTGCCGCGATTACAGAGTCATCTGTCGGAAGTGATACAGACAAAAACGGCCCAATCGGCGCCGTATCGCATTCGATTTGGCCAAGACGTGTACGTGTATGTGAAGGCATTTTCACAATTCTTTCCGAATAGCAAGCCAAACGAGTGTGATTTCATTATGTCAATCAATACACTGATCACCGAAGCCGAGCTGGCCAATTTTGATACACAAAGCGTCAATAAAACGACAACAATGTCACTTCCAAGCACGAGTCAAGTGAATTCACACAATTCAAACATGGGCGGCCCATTAATGACAAGCGTTATGAATGGCTCGAGTATCGTATCGCAAATGCAAAATCCACTAAATGACACGGGTCTACAAGATTCGTCACGATGCGACACAATTTTCACATCGGATTCGTTTGAATTTCCGTTCACTGATTCATTCGATATGGAATCGGTTGGCGTTGCATGGGATTCAAGGCCGGACTCACGAGCGAGTGTTACACCGGTTAGCACACCTCGGCCAGCCTCCGAATTCAGCCCGGTTGCAACCGTATGCCAGTCACCATTGACTGGCTATCACGCCTCACAACCGAGCCCACTACAGGTATGATTTATTTGAACTGAAAAATCTGGAACTTTTAAGTTGTTTTTATTTTTTGAGAGCGTGTGAAAAATAAAAATGTTGATCTCATTTTTAGAACCACAACAATAACAACAACAACACGAATAACAATAACAATAATATGTTGTACAATAACAACAATCACATGCCGAAGGCGCCTACAACAGTATCTCATATGACGACTCATACGTCGAACATATGTGTCGTGTCTCCGATAACGCAACAACAGCAGCAACAGTCGCAACAACAGCAGCAGCAAACACAACAACAACAGCAGGTGAGTCATAGCGTTTCAAATTGTGCGAAAATTTTGGAAAATTACTCCAAACGACGTAAAAATGACGTAAATTTTAATTTTGCAGATTTCATCTGCTTCACACACTTCATCGGAACGATTACGAAATCTGTTGACCAATTCGAAGCGACAGCCGAATGCCATTGCTCCAGGTGGTGATAGTGAACAAGAGCAGCGTGCTGCGGCCCATCACAAGATTCTGAAAGGACTGCTGGATGCTGATGAAGAAAAAGACAATGTGAACAATGCATTTGTTAACAAAATGAATGTTCCGAATCAAACGCCACCACAGCAGCAACAACAGCAGCAACAGCAGCAACGGATTGCCGGCAATCAAAGACCCGGTGGTAGCGATTCGAAAAACGATAATCCAATGTTGATGCATCTTCTGAACCATGACGATGATAACATGGACGGTCGAAACAACCAGCGAAACAGCAACCAGAGTGAGCTGTTGAGACAGTTGCAGAAGGAAGAGACGCCGAAGGATCATCATCACAGTATGACGGCCATTGGAAATGAGGAACTTATTCAAATGCTCCGGTTTCAGGGCAACGATTTTCCAAATCGTAAACGATCGTCAAACGATTCCGATGACAGTCCATTGGCCAAACGTACCGAGGACAAACCGTCAAAACTGCGTGAAAAGAACAAAATGTTGGCATCACTTTTGTCGAATCCATCGAAAGCGCCGACCACATTCACGACGATTCCTGTAGTGAAAACCATTCCTGATATACCTCAATCGCGATTACCCGATGCGCAACGTGTATTCCAGGTGAGTCGCTTTCTTTTAACTCGTACCTTACTTTTGACTATTTTGGTTCGAAATCGATTTTTTTTTTGTGTGTCAAATTTTTCGTTCAAACTGATGCGACTAACTGACCGAATTTGCACTTTTTTTTAGCAACAACCGTCACCAAATACAACGAAATTGACTCCACAACAGTTGATGAGTTTGCAGCAGCAGCAGCAGCAACAACAGCAGCAAATGAATCAACGAACACCGGTTCAACCAGCGAATAACCAGCAAATGCGTAAAACAGCCACATCGATGATCGGTCCAACGGCGATTAGTCGGCCGCAAGATTTTCACTTTGAAACTGGCACGTTTGCCACCTCAACAGCTGCAACGCCAATCCAACCGAGCGGTGGAGATACCGAATTATCAGATATTGTAAACAGTGTGATCGATATGTTCCCGGAATACCAGGGCAATTTGCTGAGTGGAATTTTGAATCCAGAATCATCACCGAGTCAGCCGAGCCAACAGCCACAAAATCAGGAAGAGATGGCCATCAATGCCATTACCAAATCACTGATGCAAATCGAAAGTACCGGCGCATTCAATAGCAGTCCACCCGCGTATTCAATGCATAACGTTAACACACAGTCTCAAGTGAGTAAAAAAAGTTTCGATTGATTCATTTTACCGAGTTGCCATGGTGAATTTTGGAAATTAATGAGATTTTTTGTGGAATGTTTTTTTTTTTTGCAGGGTTTTCCTCCGCCACCAGTTTATACACAACGAAGAAATGCTGTCGGAAATACGACAAACAACACAAACACCAGCTCACCGCAACCAACACCAGCCATGCGGCTACAGTTCCAACAGCAAATGCAACGCGACGCAATACTTCAGCAACAGCAGAAAGAACGTTTATTGCAACAGCAACAGAAACAATCTCTCGTTGTGCCAGTCAATGCAACCGCAACCGAACAATTATGTAAGTTTCCAAACGGAGAAACCCTTATTTTGAGAGAGAATACACGTTGAACATTTTTTTTTAACTCATTGCTTATGCTGATTTCGCCCCACAGATATGAATTCGGGAATTTCAAACTATGATCTATTGAACAATGTACCGCCGAATGTTTCACTACAACGAAGTGCGAATGTTGTGCCTGATACACAGTTAAGTCCCGGATTCTCACCGAATTTGTTGCAACAGCAACTCAGTCCACAGCAGCGGGCACCATTTAGCCCACAACCAAATCAAAGTATTGGATATCAATCGTTTAGCTCGAGTACTGGACAGAATCAGGTTGGTTTGCAATTTCATTATTAAAAAAAAAATCCTTTGGATTCGCTTTATGAAACCAAATCGTTGACTATGTCAACATCTTGAAATGAAATCAATTCAACCGAAATGTGTTCTTCTCATTTAGATATCACAACAGCAACAATTTTCTCAGGGCAACCAAACTCAGCCACAGCAAACACAACCGAATCAACCTCAGACACCGCAAACGCAATGGAATACATCAAGTCTACAATCTCGTTTATCAGTGCAACAGCAACAGAATCCGATGCTAAATGCACAACTACAGGTAAGTGTAGTAACAAATCTGGATTGAAAAAAAAAAAAAATAGAAAACAGTGCATTCAAACCATAAGCTGGTGATATATTTTCTGATCATGAATTGGGTGTGATTTTTTTTTCTAAAATTTCAATTTGAATCAACAGCAAAGTGGCTATAATAATGCGGCCGCCCGACAATTCCAAGCACAACGACAGCGTTCGCTCAATTCGCCGGTGACGCCGAATTTGCGGCAAAATTCATTTTCCGAAGGTTTCACCGAACCGCCCAGTCCGACGACACAAAATTCGTACGGTCCAAACATGTTCAACAACCAACAGATGCGATTGGCACGCCAGCAAAGTATACCGAATGCAACGCAGCATCTGCCTGGTAAGTAGACCGTTTTTTGAGTGTGATATGGCTTATGATTTTTCATTTCGTTTTTTTTTTTTTGTTATTCGCCTTTATTTTGGTAATAATTTTGCAGTAAACAATAGTTCTTTCTAAACCAAACCAAACCAGACCAAAAAAAAAAACTTTGTCGTGTTTTGCATAGAATTTATTTTTCCTCCTTCCCTCCAACACTAATCAGTATAATGAAGACTTTTAAAGCAAAGCAAAAGCAAAGTTTTCAAAATATCCATTGGAAAATGCATCGCAACGCAAATTAAAAAAAAAACCCTTAGAACCAAATATCTATTTTTTTCATTTTGGATGTAAATATGTCTGTTCATTTTACTACTAAATATATTAGCTAATTTTTTTTTTTTGGTTTGTTCATTAGAAATTTTTTCGAAATTCACACATTGTAATTTTTTGGATCGAATACACTTATGTAAATGGCCTTTTATTAGTGCTAGTGATATTTTTACACTTCTTTTTTTGTGGAATCGATTTAGTGCATTTTAATCCGCTGACGAAACGTGTGATTATCAATCACATTTAACCAAAAACAGAACCGTTCCTACCTTTGATTTGAACGATCTTCTTTCTTTCTTTTTTTTGAAGTAATGCGCATGAATACTGAAACCAATAATAAACCATTTGATTAAGTACTAGCATATCTCCTCTTTACTCTAGCAATTTAATAGTTTTTTTTTTCGTCTTTCAAATAGATTTTGTAATTCAAGTTTTTTCACGGTCGTTTTTATCGGTCTTAAAACGTATAATTTTAAACGGTGTTGGCATTTTCAAAATTTAATTTCGAACTTTTCTTTCCTTTTTTTTTCGAATTAAGTGGAATTAAGTACCAATAAATATTCTTCCCCTTTTGGCATACAGCACTTTTTCTGTATATGCGTTTATCGAATGAAATGGAAACACGAATACCACCCACAACCACATACACATTTTGTTGTTTAGCCATGCAACAAAAACCAAACGAAAACACTTTTCGATTCTATCAAAATGGACTGTCTTTTTTTGCTCTAGTAACGAATTCTTCCAAATTTTGGTTTGCAATTTATACAAAATTCCGCACAAATCTCCCCTTTCGATAGCGAACAAAAAGAAAACACCTCCTTTTTCACATTTTTATTCTGCTCAGAAGTTACAATTTAAAAAAAAATATAGAAAACGGCGTCAATTATAGAAACAAAGAACAAATGCTGCAAAACAAAGATTTTTTTTTACGCAAAAAACCAAAAAAGAAAAAACAAAAACCTTTGTCAAACCATTCCATCCAGTGAATAAATGAATTTTAATCCGAACAAAACTGACATTTCACAGGATCGCCACGCTCTTATACAGATTCCGCATACACGATGATGTACAATATGCATCCGTCTGGAACAGCTAACGATTACTATGGTCGTACACAGGGTAAGGGTCGATAACGAAGGGTCTCTTCTTCGCAACACACAAAAAATACGAAACCAATGCAATAATCTCTATCTCTCACCAACTTAAACCATTTTTTTGTTGTTGTAAACAATGAAGAAGGAAAAATAAGAAAAAAACCGTGAAAAAAAAAATCTAAAAGTAACCAAATCACATGCCTCAAGCTTGATCCACTTGATCATCTTTTCCGACAATAACCAGTTGTTCTCTCTGTTTTTTTACCAACCGAACAAACAAAAATCCATCAACCATTTTACTCTCTGTCTCTCTCTCTCTCTCTCTCTCTCTCGGCTTTAGAAGCCAGTATCGATTTGATACGTACCACACCAATAAACAAAATACTGTTTGGAAAAAAGACGAGGAGCGCGCAAACATCAAAATGGAAAGCAGTTGAATTCACACGGAATTTTCTTTGTTGCTTGAAAGAGTTGGGCGAAATTCAAAACGAGTCCGTTCTTTGCACATACTTCTTTTCGGCATAATCGACACTTGACTTCATCGAACAATAAAGAACAATTGCCAAAATTCAACATTCCTTTACCATTTCGGCGTTTCAGCCCATCACACAAAATTTCTTTTCAAAATTGTCGGCTTTGTTCATTTAATTCCATTTTGATTTTTCTTTCGGCCATTTCAAGCTATTTTTTTTTTTTACAAGGAAAAATTTATTGTTGTGGTATTTTTTCATCTAAATGTTTCGCCATTTTTACTCGATACCTTACGCCTCATCTTTCATTTGTGAATAAATTCTTGTTTATTTTGTTACATAAATCCATTTTTTGTTCGCCCTTCATACACGTGTAAATAACATTGTTGGTGTTGTTCCATCGTCCAAAATGCATTTTCAATCAGTGTTATTGACCATCCACCGATCACACCATGTATCGTTTGCTCATCACTACACCACCACCACAACCACCACAACCACCACAACCACCAAATCACTCCACCAAGTCACATATTTTTTTATGATTTTTCACTCTTTTCTTCCTCTTCCTCTGTCCACTCTGCCTATGGAAGAGTCTGTGTCTCACTTTCACTCGTTTTTGTGTCTTCTGTAGCATCCACATTCATCTACATTCATTCGGGAAAGTTGTAATTGTTAGTCCTTGAAAACTGCGCTGTCGGAGCTTTGTTCGTTGTAGACCAGTAGCTTTTCGGTGTGTTTTTTTTTTCTGTCTTTCAACTGAACCGATTTTATGTAAATAACTGCATTGATTCCAATCACATTGAAAGCGATTTTTTTTCTCTGTTCTAAATTGTGTTTTTTTTTTCAATCGAAATTTTAAGTTAAATTGTGGACATTTTTCTTTGCACAATTAGTTTATGCACTGAAATCGATGTACGAATTGGGATTTCGATTTGACGAGTGCAACAGTTCCATTTTATTTGGTAGTAAGTACTTTATCGTTTTCTTTTTGCGTTTCGAAAAATTACGTGTCAAATTTATGTTTTTGGTTGAATCAAATGAAATGGATTCGTGTTCCTTTTTGTTGGGTGCAGGGAGTGTAACTCCGAGGAGGAGGAATGGTGAGGAGGTGAATGAGGAGGAGGAGTGCGCTGAGGAGGTTCCTCCTCCTCACATGAGGAGGAAATAAAAATTACCAAAATTGAGGCATATAAATTTATTTTAAACACTTTTATTGATTTGGAACGGATGCCAACGATAAAAAACTACGATCAACATCAATAGAAGTGTTTAAAATAAATTTATATGCCTCAATTTTGGTAATTTTTATTTCCTCCTCATGTGAGGAGGAGGAACCTCCTCAGCGCTCTCCTCCTCCTCATTCACCTCCTCACCATTCCTCCTCCTCGGAGTTACACTCCCTGGTTGGGTGTTTGTTCCGTGTTTCAATGTGGTTATTTACACAATTCCGAGTTCTTAATTTTCATTGTCGCTGATGTTTTTTTTCCTCTCTATCGATGTCGTAACGTATATAAGAGTTAAGCATGAGATCTCGTGTGTACTATTTTGTATGAGTCAGGTTGATTTTCATGTGGTCGGACGATATGCGAATAATCCGTGTTAAAATCCGATATGATCGTAAATGATTAAGTTTAAAAAGGTGCTTTGATTGTAATTTAGAGTATTTCTGAACTGATTTTTCTTAACAAAAAGCATTGGAATTTTCTTTTGAACAAAATGGTGATTTTTTTTTTTCTTTAAACAAAATATTATTCTAATCATTAAAAACTACTAACATTTTGTTTTGAAACAAAAGGTTGCTTAATTCGAATTGTGTGTCTAATTTGTTTTTTTTTTCTGCACGACAATTTTATTTTAGAGAATATTGAAGAAAGCAATTTGTTTTAAAGACATTGTCTTTCTTGGAATTTGAAAAGAAAAAAACAAATTTTTTTTGTTGACTTATTGAAATAGCTCTGTGATGCGAATCTGAATCGACTCGATTGAACAATTAATTTCTCTTTGTTCAGGTGTGAATAATACCGGACACTCGTCTGAGTTTGTGCGACGCGAACTGCGCACCATGGTGAGCGAACGAACGATGAACAATGCGCGACCACCGCAAAGTCCGATCGGACAGAATGCGATGATGGGATCGACCGCTAATGTAACTGTCAATAATAATATCAACACTAATTCAAACAACGTGTCAATGTCGATGGCTGTGCAACAGCAACAACAACAGCAGCAGCAGCAACAGCAGATGACCAACAACTCAATGATGAACTCATCGGATATGAACTATTTCGATCTACCGACACCTGGTAAGCACAAATTAAATAGACAAATGAAACCAACCACAACACACAAACACCAAATGAAACACTCTTGTGAATACATTTATATATATATTCTGTCTCGCTATGGCATTAAACAAATCAAATACCCAAATAGCAATGTGATGTTTCTGTTGGAATGTGCTCTCATGTCTTTTGTCTCATCACTGTATTGTGTACTGAAACTCAGTCATCAAAGAATTTTACAAAAAAAAACACACTATGCCCTACACCCTCTCATACTTTCTTCTCTCTGAATCATCATTATTGACAGGCGATCATTAACTAGAGCGATATATTCATTCGCATTCGTTTTAATTTGTACATACAGAGAACAATTGTTTTTTTTTTCATCTCATGGAGACATAATTTATTTTTAAAACACACTCTCACGTCTCTCATGGGTAAATAAACGCATTAGGAATTTGCAACATTTTACCTCCACCTAGATTTAGTGTTGTGACAAAGCACACAAAAATCTTGGATCATATATTGAAATCTAATTAAAAAAAGAATCAGCAAAGTCAAACCAACCAAATATAAAACACACTAAAAACAGAAAGAAAGAATATAGTCAATTATCTCGGTTTTGAATTCTACTTTTAAGGTACAACAGTTCTAGACACAAAAACCACGGCTTCTCAATGGACTAGCGGAGAAACCGCTGCGACGAGGGTAAGATTATGTCAAAAACAACAACAACAACACACACACACGCTCTCTCTCTACTCTCACAGTTTCACGAATTTTGAAACTACCTGACATAATTTTTGCTGCAACCAAACCAAAACTCACGTCTTGGTTTTTCGTTGTTTTTTTTTTTAATTCGTTTTTAGATATTTTTTTTCTGTCTTAATTATTATCCTTCTTCAATTAATACCGTAATTGCTCATTGATATCTCGTTGAATTTTTTTACTATGCCACTTGATTAATTTGTTTTTTGTTTTTGGTTTTAATTATATCGTGCATTTTTCATATAAATATCTTTAGAAGTTTTCCTTTGTTGACATTTTGTATTGAAATTTGTACACATTTGCTATTTTCAACCGACTGACAATAGTAAAACTAGAACGATTACTTTGCTTCGACTTTGATTTGTGTGCTGAACCAAAGAAGGAAACAAAAACCATTGATTGAAAGTAACAATTGGTCTTTTTTAGCTGCTTTGTTACGTTTTTTTAGACACTTGTGATCAACCAATTTTACCAATTTTTTTTTAGTTAATTTTCATCGCTTTCAACTCCTTGCCAATTTTGTTTTTCCTATTTTCTTGTGAAACTGTACAGCAGAGAGACGCTGTCTTGTTCGTACCAATATCGATTACTTATTTCGCCAACATAGTTGTTTGCCAACCGATTTTTTTTCCTTCTTCTTCAACATTTTTTTTCCAATCTTTCTTTCATTGTACATTTTTAACGCTTACGTAGACACATTCTTTTGACAATTAGAACAAATTTGGTTTTTATTTCCAACTCCTCAACGAATATGGGCACAGTGCAAATCGTTGGGCCTGTTTGTACATGTGGCGTATTCATGTAGTGGGTGAGAAAATTGATTCGTTGCCCTTTTAGTTAAGAACGTAGTGTTGATGATATTCAGTAGTTGTTACTCTTTTTCATAGCTGAACCAGTTTTTTTCTTCGACTTTTTTTCCGCAAAACGGGTGTGAAGTCAAATATGAGAGTTTTATTCGATGCTTCACTAGAATTTGTACTTCTTTTTCTTATTGTTATGGGTGTCATTCAATTTGGCTTTGTTGTACGATACAATTGGCGGCATTTTTTTTTTCTTTGGATTTTATTCTTGAAAAAAAAAAAACATAACTTTTTTGATTGATCTTATCTTACTTACTTTGAATTCTTGATGGGAATTTTTTTTAAACATAAATAAATCTCCATTTTATTTCTTTATTTTGTTTGATTTTCAAAATTGCTTGAAATAAAAAAAAAAATTAACAAGTTGTTTTGGCTAATTTTTTTTCGTCCCATTAATTTAATTATAAAAATTACGTTTGAAAAGAAAATAAAGAGAAATACGGGAAAAACGTGGAAGAAACGATTTACTTTTTACTAAAAAAAAAGAAATAAAATCAATTTCTTCAACATTCATTGCATTAATAAAATTATCAAAAAAAAAAATGCGCCATTTGAATTCGGCCGAGCCAAACTACTATACTTCATTGAAAGCAAATCCAATTTTTGTGTGCTTCATTGGATATTGCATGGCGTATCTCTTGAATCAATCAATTTGATTTTTTGGTTTCCTCTACCTACTCATTTGTTTTATTTGAATAATCTTTTCGTTTAATTTTGCTTGAATTTAATTTACCGTTTACTTGTTGAATCATTGTATGACCCCAATTTTTAACGTATTTCGAATTTTTTCCATTGCAGTCGAATATTTCGGAGGAGCCACAAATCGGTGACCCTAAAAACTCATCGCTCCTGCTACAGAAACTGTTGTCTGACTAAAGAAAAAAAAAATCGCAATTGAAAGTGACCTAAAAAGCTGAACGAGCCGCTCTCCTGTACATCAAAAAAATTGAAGAATTTAACTGGCTTGCGTTCAGTGAACAAACGAAAAAAAACACAAGAAAAAAAAACAAAATCTACGATGCAGATGAAATATGCCTGTTGTGGTTAAATCTTGCAATATCGTGACCCATGTAAAGAAAAATTGAGAAACAAACAAACTGAAATAGGGAATGGCGATGAAATTTCGGGACGTCGTGGGAATAAGATAAAAAAAAAAACAATTGAATAAATGTGATGTGATGTTGATGTCTTAAGTTTTATGTAAATATGTATTAAAAACATATGTGTAAAGTATAAACAAAAAAAACAAAATGTATAGAAAAGTTGTGCATGTGGCATGAAGCGATACGAGCCCGTATCCAGAGGAGAAAATTGTGCAAAGAAATATCTTTGACTTTGAAATGAAAGGAAGAAACCATTAAACGAAACTAAAAGAAACACAGAAAAAAAAAATCTAAAAAAAAAAGTTAGTTGAAAAATCACTTTGTAAATTAATATAAAAAGAGGAAAAGTTTTAAAACAACAATTGATCATTTAATCACTATTTTTTATGTTACATAGTTTTCTTTGCCGACGCATAAATGAAAAAAAAAACAACTCTAGATCTAAACGCTAAGTATAACATATATTAAATAATGATAATATATTGTATCGAAAACAAAAAAGCAGAAAACACATGCATGATTTAAGAGAACCTACAAACCTCTTCGCAACAGATTGAAAATGTTTAAGAAACAAGAAATGACATTTGAGAACACACAAACAAGTTCAAATTTGAATGATTTATTCACACACACACGTATATAAATGAATGAAAAATACAAAACAAGCATCCATTTCATGTTGGCAGAAACAAAAAAAACACACACACAGAGACACTGAAATGGCGATAAAGTTTATATTTAAGAAGAAAATGAAATACCTGTTTGTCTACTAGATATAGAGAATCCAAAACAACAACAAAATATGCAAGCGCCTGACATTTCAATGTCATGCCGCGTTGCAGAACAAGGAAGAAAATTTAACTGAAAATAGAAAATACCTCTATTGCAGTTCAAAGTTAAGTAAACAAATGGCAAGAAAAATTGAATGAAAAGAAGAAAGAAAATTTATTATTATTAAAACAAAAAAAAGAAAAGAAAACTAATTTAAATGTATGTATACACTATACAGTAACAATTTAATGTTTATCTATAAAAAAAAAACAAAAAAAAAGAGAGAAAAAAACATTTAAACTATGCATTATCTATTCTTTATATAGATACACAGATCACACACACACACAAGATGGATGAAAAACGTTTAAAATTAAATATTTAACGACATTTGAATGTATTTCAACGAGAAAAATCTATTTGACGTGCGAAAGAGTTTTGATACATCAAAATCTCCGGATCAGTCTGTGAAGAAAGGCAAAACCCAAAATGGATTGGTCGAACAAAAAGAGACGCAATTGAAAAGGCTGAATTGGGAATGTGTGTAACTGATCTATCTATATACCGTTTTGGTACGATTTGATGCCCGTTGATATTTTGTTGATTCTTGAAAACCCGCTTTCACGCATCTCAACCCATCCGCACGATGGACGAAATGTCTGCCTCTCTGATGGAAAGCATAGGATTATCCAACTAAGATATTTACATACACACACACACACACACCCACACACACTATTTTGAAAGCTCCGATTTGTTGCGGCGACTATTTTATTTTTGTGTTTAATCGATCACAAAAATCAAGCGGTTCATCCATCGAACGTTTGTTTTTTCCTCTTTGAATCGAGTATCTCTGTGGTATAATGAAGTTTGTTTAAATGTTTTTTTTTAATGTTTAGTTTTTTTTTTTTCTCTTTCTTCTTTTTCAAATAATGTTTTATGGTATAAAAATGCTAGACATGTAAGCTCATTGAATTTTAAACAGCAAACAATAGATGTTAGGCATGTAAACCGGTTGGAAGAGGCGACTTTTTTCACGATAGAAAATATGCCTGTTTGCAGAGTGTGAATCGATTGATTGAATGAATGATGATGATGATGATGGCAAACCGATGAAACAAACCCAACTGTACATTATATTGACGTAGTAGTTTTTTTTTTCTTCCTCCTACCCACTTCTTCTTTGTCTTTCTTTATAATAATTCGTTTATTTTCCTTCACTTCGTTTGAAATGATGACAATTTTAATTATAAATTTTGTGATATGATATTTATTAACCGATAGAAGAAAAATGCAAACAAGTTTTGTTGAATTATGTTTTTTTTTTGTCTTCTGAGAGAGTGGATGGATGAATGAGTGAGCATGCATGGTGTCCGCTTGCATTGCTGCACCACCACCGCCACATCAATGATGATGCCGCCGCCGCCCGCCAACTTCTTGAACAATTATAACTTTTATTTTCCGTTTTTTACCCAATTCCGTTGCTGTTATTTACTGAACCAACCCCTTTCAACCACCATAGAGTCTTTTTTTTTTCTTCATATTTTTAAACTTAACTCTGATCAATAGCCTATCCATTCTTTTCTGTTTATTTTTTTCTTTTATTTTAAATATTTTTTTTTCTGTTTTACAATTCAATATTTTCAATTTGTTACCATATATTTTCCGTGCTTAATCTTTACTCGATTTTTCGTGTTTAACTTTTACTCATTTTTTTCTCTCGTTCTTCGTTTGATTCAATGCCCGATTGATTGCTTCATTTTATTGTCCTCCCACTTCCACAACACTGTTCATTTATGTGCAATTTCATTTGAATGCAATTTCAAATCCCTGATAGATTGAAATAGAAACAGTACGAAATGTATAAAAATCAACAAACAAAACGGTTTCGCCTGTGTTCGTATTCGAACGAACAATGCAATAGATTAAAATATCCAAACTCAAATGAACGAAAGAAGTAAATAAGCCCCTCAAATACAAATCAACTGTTAAAAATGCCGAGAGAGAAAACACAAGCAAATTAATGTTATCATTTGAGGAATAAATAAAGAAAAAAATCATACAAATTGATTAGGTTTAGTAGAGTTGTTGTTGGTATTCGGAATGCAGATGGTTGTGGTGTGATGATTGCTTTTGATTGTTTGTTAGAGACCATTGACACCTTGTTGTTAGAGAGAAAAAAAATAACCATTTTATTGTGTGTATACAGAATGACAAGAGGAAAACAAAGAAGAAACAAATGAAAAAAAAAAATGAATGAAAATTAAAACGTACAATTCGAGCGGCCAACGGAAAGACAAAGAAAATTGAGCTCGATTTATTTTTCGGCTTTTGGAATGTGATATAGTAAGAAAAAGGCGGTTTTCTCTGTGTTTCTCTTTTTCATGTCAGACCAAAAAAGAAACAAACACACACACGCAGCACACAAATGAAATGATACGAATCATCGCGACATCAAATATCGCAGGAGATGCTGACACAAAGAAGAAATATCTGTTGAAAAATTGCATGTTTAGAAAAGAATATCTATTGCACCGAAAGAAATAAAACAAACAGAGAGAATATATTTTGTAATAAGCCTCAAAATGAATTTATGGACAGCATAAGAAAGAAGTGAACTTGTTTTTTTTCCGGCAAACAATCCAAAATTTTTTTTTTGAAAAGATTCAGCACTTTTTGGGAAATGATCTTTTTTTTTCTCTCTCTATTTAAAAAAAAAATTCTTTTTGCACCCAGAGACAGAACGGAAATCAAGCAAACAGCCGAGCATTGGCACTCATTTTGTATTTTGTAACATTTATGAATGATTTGCTTCTTCTTTTTTTTTTAAATCGAATTCATTCATTGGCAAAATTGATTTTTCTTACCACTCACACTATTTGATACATACACATTTTTGAAAAACCCCGCTCCCTCGCGCAACTTGTTCTAATACTGAGAAATACAAATTTGAAGAGAAAAAAAACAAATGAAACAAACAAAACCTATATATCTACATTTGGTGGTGTGTAACATAGCGGTTTAGATTTAGAAACATTACAAGTATACATACATTATATTACATTTAATAGAGTTAATGCTATATAAATGAGAGAAAAATGATGAAACAAGAGGAAATAAAAATTATTGAGAGAAGAAAAAAATTACAAACACACACACACACACATCTAAACAAATGCTATATTTAATGATAATAAAATTTAAAAAGAAACAAAAAAAACCATATATGAATCTATTTTGTAATTAATAATTGATGAAATAAAACAAGTTGAAATTCATTTTTTTACCTACATTTTATTTTTTTTTGAGTTTCTTTCGTTTGATTTGAATATGTTTTTTTTTAAATTTCGATTTGGTTCGAAGTTTTCCATCTTTTTTACGGTTTTCAGTTCATGAGTTCATTGATTGTTTTGAGTTGTTCTTGCGTTTGACCAAAGGTTTGTGTTCATTTTGATGCCATTTCTTTCTTTCTTTCGTTTCTCTTGTGTTCGTGGGCAGAAATTTTGTTCTGAACTTATTTGAAGCAAAATGAGGAAGATACATTTGAAAGTGGATTTTAGTGGGAATTTTGATTTGAAAAACCTTTTAGTTCAACTTTGCGAAAGAAAAATGATTTAAAAATCAAATATGAAGCACCACGATTCTTCTTCAGAAACCTTTGATTTTATTCAAGATCATTTGCAGTCATTTACATGGATTTCAGTATAAGACCCTTAAACAGCATCACTTTTTTTTTCTATCAAACAATTTTGAACACAATAAAATAACACGTTGACTGCATGTAAAACTAGTTCGAATAGATTAAAAACAAACAGACTTCTATAGAATAGAAACCAGAGAAAAACACACAAACACACAAATAATAAATATAAATACAAAGAAAAATAGGTGATAAACAGTACACACATCAAGTGCATTATTCAATAATAAAAAAAAAAATGAAGTGAAAAACATAAATAAGCCCGTTAAAAAAATCACAAAAATAAAAAAATCTCTATATTCATACAAACCCCGACATGGAAATATGCATAAACGACTACAAACAAACAAAAATGACTAGCATTTAGATGATAGCAAAGTTAATCGATGGTTGAAGAATAAAACTATATTTTTCAAACTGACAGAGTCTAAGTAACAACACACAAACAGCAACAGCAACAATGAAACAAAAATTGTACATAAGACACATACACACAAAGTCCAGCAAACAAAACTCATTGCACCGAAATTCAAAACAATGTATTCTAATCTAAACTCTAGAAACAAATGACACAAAACACACACAGAACGAGATTTAAGGTTCGCATTCGACGTATAAGAAAACAAATCTATTTCATTTAATCCAGTTTTGAATTAAATCGTGGAAAAGAAAACCAAAACTAAAAAAAACAATAATTGTTCACAATCTGCGAATTTTGATAATTAACTAGACAAAAAAAAACACTGAACCGCTACCATACCGAAACATTCCCAATCAAATAATTTTGATCGAGTTTTGGTGTCTGAATTCGAGCGATCAAAAAATGGCCGTCATTTTCTCGCACATGAAATGTTCGAAGTGTCACCACATTGGTGCGCATCGAACAAAGAGAGGATACTGCTCATGTCGCGATGGAAAGGGGAGAAAATGTTGTGCATTTTTCAAAATTGTTCATTTTACGCAAACCCGTTGCACAGAACTAAAAGAAACATAAACACTGCCAACAAAACAGTTCGAACTAAATCGCTCATTAGATTAGAAACCGCCGAGAACTTATTGCTTCCACATTTTCAAATTGTTCTAAATACCGTTTCGACGAAGCAAACAAACCTGCATTTATCAATTTAAATCAATCATTATTTGAATTGAATTTCGCCGACACGATCAGATCCGGAACATAGTTGAGAAGTTCAGTTCACTCTTTTGGAATTTCAGTTTTTTTTTTTTGAAAATATGAAAAAAATACCAAAAAAATTCCGACTTGAACACAAAAACACACACAGAGAATAGTCCGCTAGAGGGATTTCTAGAAGAAAAATCGAAAACGAAGAGAAGGGGTCAGTGAATGACGTAAAATGGTTGGCTGTGTTTAAAAAACAGTAGATTTATATAAAAGAGAAAAAAAATGCGTAAAAAATAGAACAAAAATGATGCGGGCAGACATGAAAATCAGAATATACAGACACACCTCGTAGATATGTCCCAGAAGAAAGATAACAAATAGACAAAACCGACAATTCGACAAAAGCGATACAAAATAAGTTAACCGGTACCTTAAAAAATGTTCAGTTTTTTTTTTTAAATATTCAATCGAACTGCAATGTGTCACACTCAAATCCTATAACTTCAGATGACTTCTATCATTATAAACAAAGAAAAAAACCAAAACAAAACAAATCTTTTTCGGGAAAGGTGAACGGAATCAAAGTACAAACCAAGTTATAAGAGAGCAAAAATTAAATTACTCTGTTGTTATTCATCATAGTCGACAAATTTTGAGAGAGGGCGCAATTGAATAAAATACCAAACACAAATTGAATCGAAGAGGCATGTGAATGAAATGTATATGATAATTTGCATATTTTATATGTTTATTCGATTGAGATAAAAATCTTTCAATGAAAATTGAAGACAAAGTGAAGAAAAAAGCACACATTTGTTCTGTTTTGCATACAGCGAACCACAATGCCACCGTATGGCATTGCCACACTTGAATCATATGTGTACAATCCGAATGAAATGATGTGTACTTGAAAAAAAAAATTAAATATTGATGTACCATATATTATATGCGCCAGATCATTATAATTTAGATGAAATTGGGACAAAACTTTGCTAATCGCGCCATTCAATTCGATTGAACAGGCATCATTTGAATTTCGTGCTGTAGTCGATTGTTTTCTTTGTGTATTAACTTTTCTTTGAAATCTTAGCGACGACAGGCTTTGTTATGCGCTAAATCCATCACGCTGAATAAATTCATGCGATAGATTTATGCGATAAATGTGATGCGCTCGCTTTGCGGTGAACGAAGTCTGTTGCTCTTCACTTGTTCACGCATGAACGTTCATGCTTTGCAGTGAACGCATCGCAAAG